GTTTCAAAGCGTGGCCGTAAACTGGTCGACTACGATTCAGCTCGTCATCACCTGGAATCTTTGCAAAGTGCAAAGAAAAAGGATGAAGTCAAGATATCTAAGGTTAAACCACTTTTTACATTTACGTGAAAGGGATGCAGAGTATTTTATTTGCAGTAGTGGTTTTCCTGATTTTTTTTCCTAATTGTGTAACAGGCAGAAGAAGAGTTCAACAAAGCCCAAAATGTGTTTGAAGAGATAAATAATGAGCTGAGAGAGGAGCTGCCCAGTCTCTATCAAAGGTACAGTAGTAAAAGTTACAGCCTTTGCAACAATAATGAAATCATTTAATTTGGATTAGCTTGAAGTTAAACTTTGTTTCTGCAGTCGGATTGGTTGCTACATAACAGTGTTTCAGAACATGTCCAACCTGAGAGATGTCTTTTATAAAGAAATGAGTGTGGTAAGACTGTTTCCCAACCCCAAAYATCATTTATCAGATCTACTGACTCTGACAACCTGTTTGCAGTTTTTTTTTAATGAAGTTAATTGTTTGCATATAGTCCAATTCTTATTTTTCTTTTGCAGCTGAATCACGAGCTTTACAATGTGATGAAACAATTAGAGACTCAACACTCAGGCAAAGCTTTCATCGTCAAAGGTTTGAATAGGTAAGACMTATTTTAGAATAACTCCATTTGTGGAGCCAGGACATGTTTTGTCTTGGTAAATTCTGCACATCTAAATGTAGTGAAAAGCTGTATCATTGTTAGATGACTATCACACCAGAAATGTGTTGTAAGGTAGAGGTGAATAAAGGGGCCGTATCATGAAAAATCAACTTTTCTGAGTTTTATATCATGTTATAATGTTAACCTCTCATCAAAAACATGCCCMRAGTCTTGCTTTGACTCATTCATGCMTGTTTGAGAAATCCTGCAGYGTCCTGAGGGAGTCTTTCAGGAGAACAAAATCGACTGGTTGAGACTAGAACCACCTTTTAGGATCAGCTCCTMCTCTGGACTGTGTCTCCAAGCTGAGCTTCCTCATCACAGAGAACACCTCCCCCGCAACTCCTGCAGGCTGTTAGCAGCAACAACTAGCAAACAAACACCTGGTGAAACCATGTCTGCTGAGCTTGTAATAATAACAGATTCTCAGTCCAGTCCTTTTCAGATTAAAAAAAGCCTTTAAGGAAATGTATTTTCAGGTGCCAAAGAGACTACCTTCTTTTTTAAGCTTCCCATGGATGAGCCAATTCTTTAAAAATGGTTGGACTTCCATTTTGTAACCCTCCAATGAAAAGAAATGATTATATTTGAATTTTGAGGCTTCTCATACATATCTGAAGGGGTTGACATGTATGGAAAACATACTTGAGCAGCTTTAGATGAGCCATATTACAAGGCCTTCTCTGTAGAAATTGGTCTAAACTCTAAATAATATGAATTTGAACTGGAAAAAAAACWAATTTTACAACTTTCATTCAGATTATTGTCAATGTCATACCTGACTGTCCATGGGACACTTTTTCCAAACAAACCACAGTTGCAGTAAGGTCTTATGTACAGTGCAGACCTGGGTAAACTGAAGTCTTTTCCCTGCCTTTTTTCTTGTACTTTCTGTCTCCAGTTCTGTTGCTGTACAACCAAGCAAATCAGAAGACTTATCAACTAATAGCAGAGGAGCCCAAATTTGGCCCGCCAAACCATTTGATTTGGCCCACCAGCAATCGCCATAGTTAGGTTGTAACCTGTCTTCCTATGCAGAAAGACAATATTTCCACTTAATCATTTCATCCATTGGCCCAGTGACCACATCAGGGGCTGTAGGGCAGATAGTTTTCACTCATTGTGCTGACTTTATCTTTGAAATATTAAGATTAAACATGGAACATGAAGCAACAAGAGAYATTTAGATTAGATTTAACCACACAGGTAAATTTGCACATTTTATAAAGACACAAAACCTCATATTTGATCAATTTATGAAATGTCCCATGAACCTTTGCTACTTGAGCATATGGCGGACTTTATCCAAGTGCACAAGCTAAAACAAAACACATTCAATAAGAGGTTTATTTGGTCGAAAGCCACAAGAAGTACGTACCTCTGCCAAGCCTTTATAACAGAGCAACAGTCATACGACTCATTTATGGATGAACATTTGTGTTTCTGTGTTTGACAGAAATTAATATTTTATAATGCAGACGGGTGAACAGATTATATCAGGGGACATGTCTGAGAAAATTAAAAACACAGACTGTTTTCTACAAGCACAAGTATAATGCATTTCATTCACACTTTATGATTTCAGTTTTTGCTAAATAGGTGTTGAGCCATAAGTGGAGCAGTTTGTACCAACAGATGGGTCACTGTTGTGATTGCTTCAGAACTTTCTCCAGCCATGCACTGGTGTTTTTATGCCTTTTCCATGCTGTTGATTACTTTTAAATTGGAAATAGGAAAAAACTTTTAAAATCTTTTCCCCCCTCATACATCACTGCACCAGTATTTATTGAATGTGTTGTAACATTGAGACTAAGTCAAAGTTATGTTTTTTCATGCAGCACACCGGGCAAGTCCAAAAAGAGGAAGTCTCTGGTTATTTCTAACCCCATCCCCTGCAACACAGCCTTTCCAGCTGATCACGTCTCCATTCATTCCTCCACCCAGGACGACAAAGGGGATGCTCAGTCTCCCTCTGCCCAACAGACTCAGATCATTGCTGAAGAAGACGAAACCTCAAAAGAAAGCTGTGTTCCAGCTGAWTCTACCAGCTCATCTGAGTCAGAGCTCAGCCTGAACAATGGCAACACACCCAAGAGGCAGTCTGTGTGCGACGACCACGAGGACAGCGACACAACTGCCCGCAGTCAGAGTCCAGAGGAGGCCCCCGGTTCTGTAAATGATGATGATGATGATGATGATGATGCCACACATGGTCTTGATCAGGGCACTGAGGATGATCAGCCATCAGAGGAGGTCAGCACCAACGCTGCACCAGTCCCTGCTCCACGGCTCTCCTTCCAGTCCACAGATGGACTTCCCTTGTTACCTGCTGACAAGAATGATGAGGAAACAGAGACAGACTTGGTCAACCTGGAGACACCAAGAGATGACTTGGATTTCCACAATCCACCTGGCTTTCTTTACAAGGTAGGAGCACTAAAATGATTCAAGTAGAAAGACAAACACATTTGAGTTATTTTGTGCAGTATTAAAACATTTTTGCCCTTTTGGTTTTGAGTTCTCCTTAACTCAACTACAACATTAATAAGGTTTCACATCCTGTGCAGGTGTGATCTTTCAGAAATGAAACAAAACTCTCAAAAACCAAAAGAGGCATGGAGCAAATCTCAGCTGCACTGATGTTGAGTTCCCAAATATCACAGAGTAACTAAGTTTAACATTTAACTTGGTGGGGAAACWTTTTGTTAGACTTAAGACTAAGTTCATCATCAGTCTAATTTGTAATTGTTTAATCCTGCAACCAAATGGTCAAACATACCAGATGTAATTACTTCATCATGATATAGTAAAAGTTTTATATCTGAAACCAATAAATAAAATGTAAAAAATACGTTTTTAATATCGGCTGAAGTCAGATGAAAACACAAAGGTTAAATAAAATGATCTGTGATAAGAAATAAATGCCATACAACACCAGAATTCTGGAGTGGGGTTTTATTTTGCCACTGGCTGGCAAGTCAAAACCACACACACTGGGAGTCAAACAGGAAATGGACCAGTATATATACAGAATCTTCAATGCCTGAGTTCRCCCCCTGCTGACYTATGGCTGAATCACCGGCATTCAGACAACAACCTTAATCTAATGGTTTAAAAACGGCTCATTTATGTGTTGTTATTGATTYGGACATGTATCTACCTAATTTAATTARCACATAATTATAACGAACATTATGAAAGTATTATAAAATAAGGAAACCCTAATACTCTGGTGTTGTATGTAATCAGTACTGAGCTATAATAAACYATAAATTTCTTCAAAAAGATAAAAAAAGATGATGGAAATTATTCTTTTATTCTAGGGGGTGGCATTRGAGAGCCATGAAGCTTCTGAAGATGGTCAACTGCAGTTTGAAGAGGGAGACATCATCCTGGTGCTATCTGATACACAAAAGGTTTGTGTCTCTGATGCTTTTTAATAACTCAGCCCTGACAAACCAGAAAGGTTTKGTCTCTACCAGAGCCACATAAACCAAATTTGTGTTTCTGACATTTAAAACATGCACTGTGCTGCAGCTCAGACTGTCATTCCTCTGTGGACCATAACCTGTAATTTATAATATACAGGTTATAAAGCTGATGATCAACACTTGATGAAATAATTATTTAGGCGTTTCTGAATTTTCAAATTTAGAAAGCACAAATCTGCACACAGTTGAAATTTTTWGCAAAAGCCCTAAAGCGCAAACGAMAAATTTAGGTCTGCAATTAGCACCATAGCATTTTAGGGGAGTACTGCCCACCACTGGGTTTAACAATATGGTGTCAAACKTTTTTGTAGGTGATGAACTCAGGCACAAGTGCACCAAATTCTGTAGGTGTGTGTTAAAATAGTCAGAAAAACTACAATCAAGGTGCTAGAGAGCCAATTTGCAACCAGCTCATTAAACTTTTTGGCAGCTGCTGATGATGAATATTGTCTTGTTTTTTTTTTAAGTATAAACTTTACGTGAAAATTTTAAAGCCATTAGGATGAAAGATTTGAGTGGGAGATTTTTTTCAAACAAAATGAGGTATTTTTACGCTGCCACTASGTGRTGCAGTGGCCWWATTCAGGACTGGATGCTYATMYACCATCTACAGTCAATCCAAYGATTACTTTCTGTAAGTTTCATGAAAATCGTGTAGCTGTTCATGAAATATTGCAGACAGTTACAAAYGTGTGTAACTGAAACAGGATTTTGGCAGGGAACAATAATTACTCTACATCTAAGAAAACTTGTGCAAGGAAGAGAATTTTTTTTATTTTTTATTATAACAGCCAGTCGGGGTCTAAGATGACCTTTGGATCTGGATTCGGACTGGGGTCCATTTTTTCGGGACCACTTGTATTTAAGAAGCCTTAACTGGGACTGTATTTTTGGTTAAGATGATTTTTTTTTTTTTTAGTGAGGTATTGTGGTGTCTTTTTTAATTCATCAAATAATTTTCATCAGAAGTGAATGTTATTTATTCAGGAACAATTAAAACAGAAGTGAATACCACATGTGCATCTGAAATGTATTTATTGTGTCCCACAGGTGGAGGGMTTGCTGAAAGGTATTAGGGAGGAGAAATGGATCAAGCACCAGGATGTTGAAAACCACTCAGGGGTGTTTTCAGAAAAACTCATCTTGCCCATGCAGGTGGAGTGAGACTACAGTTGTTCCTCAGTCTGTAATTTGTTTGTACTCCCATCAAGCATTTCCAATGTCTCACACACACACACGCACATGCACACACACACACACACACACACACGCACACACACACACACACAGGATTTCAAATGCTTAGGTGCAAAGATTTTACAAACAAATAGGTTGACCTCTCGTGGTTTTCACATGATGTGATAATTAAGTATAGAGGACTGAAACTGACATGATTAGAAATAAAAGCAGAAATATATCAATGGACCAGTAAATAAATAAATACACTTAAAATGCACCAATTAAATAAATAGGAGAACTTTACCGCAAGTAAAAGGAAAAACAAAACATATATATTTTTTAAAAACAGTAACATGT